TTTTTCATATTAAATAGATGTTACACTTGGATAACAATACAGATTTTTTCGTCATTTATTATTCAAATAAAATTCTGCTAAGGAGGCTAACAAAAAGAAAATTAAAAAATCTCCCTTCTAGTAGAATGTAACCTCCTTCTCTGAATGTTCACAAAAAAGGTAATTAAGAAATTTGTGATTTGATAATATTAATAGTTTTGGTCCCCAAAGAGTAATAGCCATTTAATTAGACTTATTAGCAAGACTCATCTAACAGATCTCATCTCAGATACCACTAATTATTTGATAAATCTGTTCGAATTAGCTGTGTACTGATAGACCAGCAAAAATTAATTGTGTTACGTCAAAAACAAAATCTGAGACAAAAGAAATATTACTCTCTGCGTGATTAAAAATATTATCAGATGAAAAAGAGTTCTTTTTTAACATACGGAGGGCCTCTAAATGGATAGCCTCTAAAAGATTTGGAGTCTCTGAAAAGCCTCGGTTACGACACTTTGCTCAATCGTATCTTGGCTCGTATAGCAATACCAAATTCGTGTACCCATAAATTAAGCTGTATCTAGCGAACGTACCGACGAAAAAATAGTCCACTAAACGACCACTTGAGCCATCGACAGATACACTTTAACCTTTCTCAAAATAGTTGCGTCCGTCACGATCTGCTCAGTATACAAAACGATCTTGTTCATCTCGCCCCAAGGATATACTTTCTTCGAACAATATTAATCACAGCCAACGAGCAGGAAAAACAAATTTAATTTAATTATCAACGAGATCCGGTTTCGAATCTTTCTGTGCTCTAAAAAACGTTTCGAAAGGCTCCCAATTTTTTATGTAAAATTGCTGGGAAACGCTGAGTTCTGTGCTTCGCGATTCCCTCGGCACTTTTGCAATACGAGTGTACGAATTCGATGCATTTTTGAAGTCTGACACCGAAATAGGCAAAACGTTGAGGGATCATGTTCGGAGCATGTCCTCGTATTGTTTAGGTATCAGGAATAACAGCGGAGTTGCGCAATGATGACCACCTCGGCGATGACATAATAATGGTATTGCAAACAATATTAGTCAATAGGACGTTTCCTGGTTAGATAATGGCGGCAAGGTTACGTGAAAAGAAGCAACGTGAGCGAAGGTGTTGTTAGAGCTAGTCGAAGCTGGCTTGCGCCTAATCGGTCCGTAATGCAAGACCTGGCCATTTTTATAATTGGTTCATCTCCCGATTACTCGATTCGTTTATCTGAATCTTTAAAACATTTTATTTATCAAATTAAATTTAATGCAACTTCGTTGACAATTCATATTAAACACGAACGAATCTTTTTACCTGAAATCTGTTCTACTGATTTTGTCAGCCTATCCTCTGAGATTGTCCAAAAAGCAAGGCTGTTTCGAGTTTTTTTTTTCGTTTCGTTCGAAGACAGGAGAAGTCATCCTGCTTCGATCGTGTCGAATCTCCAGAACTTCTAAGGTCGACGAGATTTTTTACAATTTTTAAGGCCAACAAGATTTTTTTTATACCACCGATAGTTCTATAAATCCACTTAAAGCTTCGTAAAAATCAAAGGTCTCGATATTGTTCTTTATTCGCGCGAAAGTAAAGAGCACGTTGTAGAATTTTTTCCCCGTCGAAAAATTACAACGTTCCAAAGTATTTCTTATGATAATTTAAACATAATAACGACACCGCGACGAAAAGGTGCAGCATTAATTCTAAATTGTTTCGTTAATCTCTGTTACGAAACGTGTTCTGTTTCGCGTTAAGACGAGCGTTGTTTTTATGAAAAACTCCGTTTTACGAGTAGTCGTGTCGCCTGTTACGCAATTCGTATGCATCTATCGATAGATCTACCTTCGAAGAGGCTGGAATCGGCTCGAATATATCGAACACATGATTTTGTACATATCAAAGCCCGTTTGGCACACGGTCAATAATTCACCCAGTCGATTGTGTGCAATTCATGTACGCCGCGTACTGAAATATTTTAGTCTTATGTTTCGTAGTTTCTGTTGGCAGTCTGGTATCAAAGACAGCCTTCATTCTTGCCTCGAGCCGGAAACGCGCAATCCTTCACCGATTCGATCACTCCGACGACGTTTAATCACCGCCTAAATACGGGCAAACGCTGCCTCGATAAATCACGATCGATCGATCTCCACCCAGCAATAATTACCAGAGATTTACACTCGTCAATTCTAACGTACGACCTGTCGTACACGATATAAATGGTATAGAGGGGTCAAATCCTCCCTAAAAAATCTGTCTCAATTTTAATCCCTACAAATCGGTTCTCCATCCATTTACAAACATTGAACAATCTTCTTTAATATTTCCATTTCTGTTTATAATTCCTAGCGGTGGAATTCTCGAAACTTTGCGTTTTTCTTGTTAGCCACCCTCTTTAACTCGTTGAGTTTCTTTTCGATCACATTACAAAATTATTCTCGAATTCTTTTCTTTTTATTGCTTCTTCGAATAAAATTATTTTATCAACTTTGCTTTTCATATACCGATTATCGAAACGAATTTGTCACCGTGTTATTTCGGATAATCGACGTACCACCGCGTCAGAGTATACGACGTAGCCGTTAATGAAATTAACGAAGTTAGGTTCACCGTTAACACTTGTTAAACGTTAATGACACAAGTTTCTACGGGATTGAGTTTACGGTATCAGAAGGAATCGAGGTGGCTTTGGAAGTTTCTTGACACCGTGCGTTGCGTCGCCGGGAGATTAATTCCGTATGCTAATATCGGGAGTATTTAGCCAGGTCGATATCACACGCGCGCGTGTACGCTGGCCTGCGTGCGTCATTAACTGCCAGAGTTAATTATTTTCGGCTTGGGCGCCGTTCGATCATGGACGACATCGAGCATGCAACCTTCGAAGTGGTCAACTTTTCGATTCCACGATGACGTCGAATTACCCGGACGAAAATATTTGCGAAATAGAACCGCGTAAATGAGTAATTAAAAATTACACGCGTCTGCTTGATTTATCCGCCATAATTCATCATTTTGCTTGCTCGAACCGACGTAGAATGTGTTAAATACGTAAGCTACCACGTGGGATCTTCATCCCCCAGACCTGAATTATTCAAATCAATACGTAGGTCTTCGATGGTTCGTTATTTATACGAATAACGCGCCATTAGAAATATACCTTAATGATACATCGAAAGCTAAATTATTAAATTTAAATCTAGTAATTTATTTAATTTTTGGCAATTTAAGACAGCTTAGAAATACTATGTAATGCGTTAAGAGGGTGAGAAAGAAGTATAATGTAAACACGTCCATTTCGGAGCCACGAAGCGTCCTCAAGAATGAAATTCTAATTCGGAACAAACGATGACCGCGCGATAATTTTAATAGACCCTCGAAAATGTGTTTTCCCCGCAGAAACTGGCACACGTTCAGCGATTCCGGGATATCTGTCTCGCCCATCCGGAACAAATTCACGCAAATTTTCAATTGGTTTGTCCCGATTGACGCGGTGTCATCGGCAACGCGCGCATATCATGAATGATAAGCCATTAGTCGATACGGTATCAAATAAATATGCATCGCCGTCTGCTTTTCCGTCACGGCTCGTGATTGGAGGAATCGTCAAAATATTCATTAACATATCCCCGATGCCAATTAAACGAAACACTTGCCGCGTGGCGTTACAATTTAGAAAAACGTACGTCGATCCCGATAATTATCCGAAGTCGATGTAAATCCTTGATCGTCCCGTGAAATAATTTATGTGTTTTGCATTTCGAGTCTCGAACAGCCAGAAACGAATGTAACAGTTCCTGTGAATATATTACGAGACGGAAAGTGTTCTGTCATTGAAAAAAGAGGCGTTGCCAAGTTATTTTGGCGCCTGTTTGTTTTCCGGTTGATACGTATGTACGTGCCCTGCATTGTTGCCATAACAGAAAGAACGATCTTGAATTTTTTAATGAAAACTCTCAATAGACACTTCGATAGCAACTTTTGTTAACATCTTTGCTCTGTGTTACCGATGAAAGAACTCCTGGTTCAAAGAAATTCTGCAAACTGAGGCACTTTTCTTTTTCTATCAGAGGTCATTGCATTGGATTTAAAACATTTCGAGAGTTATTTCGAAACGAATTTAATGGAATTAACTGGCGGATTGAGAGTCATAGTGGTGCAAGTCTGAATTCTTCAAATTTGAGTTAACACTGAATTTGAAACCTTCAAGCTGATTTCCATTTATCATAAAAATTTATTTTCTTACACTTTTAACAAAGCATTCTGATCTCTGTTATTAATAGTTCTACATACAAATTAAAGAACATATTATATTGTACGTTAAAAATTATTATTCATTAAAAATGTATTCGTTATTAAATTTTTACTAATCGATATGTTTCCGAAATTTCACTCCAGAATTTAAACATGCTTCAATTATTTTCACGCAGAGATATTTTTTAACAGTTTTCTACACCTTTAGATGTGCTTTTGTAACGTTAATATTTATCTAGGATCTTTTTAATCAACGACTGCAAAACATTATTTTATGCGAAACAGTTGAATTATGTGAAACCACTGTGTCTCTCAACCCAGCAGATGTCTGTTAAAATCCTCGATTTTGGGGGCGATCGAGTGATTCGTATCCCGACGACATCGCCAAACGTTCCCGGTCGATTGACGTCACGTAATTCGAGTAACGACGATCGATGGTTAGCTCCCCGGTATCTAGGAGAATCGATTTATCGATTCCGTCACTAGATAATGCAATTTGCCGCAAATATAAGCCACAGCGGCACTCCATTAGACTATTGAGAACTACTTTGTCGAGTGCACTAATTCCAGGTGTTTGCTGGCGCAACGCAAAGCTATAGGGTTGGTCGCGGCGCGCTTAAAATCCAGAGAAGATATCAAACGACAGTGATATCATAATCGATAACAGTGAACAATCGTCTTAGAAAATTTTAAAGACGTTCTTCGACGAAAGCAATAAGTATCAGAGGTCTGTACTCACCAAGATCCATAGATCACATGAGCAGGGAATCCACCCTCTGGCTGCACCACACCAGGAAGCCTTGACCCAGCATTTTAACCTTTTCCATATCACATCTCGACTCTAAGTACAGTTGCATGTAAGGACTCGTGGGTCTCGTTCTGGTTGAATCTATAAATCAACAATATAACCAGGTCCATTAGACCTACACATGTTTTTACAAATTAAAGCATTTTTTGTAATTGTATATGGCGGTTTGACTTATTGACTTACACCATTATGGTTCGAAATGCTTTTCTGACTTTTCTGTTCAGTGCTCAGTTTCTCGATAAAATATAAATTTAGAAGTAAATCGATTTTTATGATAAATAGAAGCTTGAAGGTTTCAAATCCAGTGTTAACTAAAATTTAAAGAATTTAGACTTGTATCATAATGATTCTCAATCCGCCATATGCTAAAGTGGTCACCCCCTTCCTTAAATAAATAAATAAGTAAATAACTAGGTCTATGAGTCCTGTCTAAAGCAACTGTTTCGTACAATTTTTGTTTTCCGTACTGGAGGCTTCTTTTTCATCGAAGATAAATTTGTATCGAGAAACGGGTTATCACTTACGGTTACAAGGACTGCTATCGAGTCAAGGAGCGGAAACCTAGCAAAGTTCGTTCTAAATGCTATCTTCTATCTAAGCAGAGTAGCGCTAACTCTGTTCGCAAAATAAAGCTATCATTGCGTCGCTGACAAATCGTCTAAATGGCTTCTTCGGGCGACAAGAACGTTTCGCAGAAAGGACATTTGGTTTCATTGTTACGCCCGTCGCGTCTTTGAAATCAATTGGACATTCATCGAGCAATTAATCCAATTAAATATTCTTCGATAGGTTTTCGTAAAAGAATAACTTTATTGGAATAATTAACAACCGATCGTCCGTCGCGTTGATTCGATGCATCAACGACAGCGATTGTTTATCAGATTCGAGCCGAATTAGGGCCAAATGATGAAAGTGCCCGAGGAAACAATGTCTCGCGCGAACGGATGACAAATGAGGGAATTTAGGTCCAGTACGACGAAGATGAACTGACTCGGTTGTGACCGAAAGTTCGTATCCTTGACACAGAAAGCCGTGGCGGCGGTCTAACCCGAGCAAAGGCGGCCGTTCCATTTGCGTTTCAAATACCAAGCGGCGAGGACAAGAATGCCATCGCAATGAGGCGAACTTGAGAGTTCACGACAGCCACGCGACATTTCCTGTCGGACAATCGAAGATCCACTGGGCTTCTATTCAGAGGACGTTCGAGTCATGGTTTTTTTCTCTATTCCCCTTTCGACGTTCCACTGTTCGACACTGTTCCACTTATCCCATCCCGTTTCCTTCTATCGATGCAACTTTATATCCGAGGCAAATTAACTTCGAAACTATTAAAAATACTGTGAGCAATCGGGTGTGATCCCACGACGATGCACGGACATTTTAAGAACGCGTCCTTCCGGCGCCTACTTGTACCCGTATAGGCATTAGCCTCATCTGTTCTTGTTACTGTTGGTAACAACTTTTTATTCAACCGTTTGTGTTACATGTCGCATCTCCGACGAGCTGTTCTGCATTTATGGCGTATATTATATCGAGCTTTTAATAAATATTCCCTTAACTGCGTTTAATAACCAACAAATACTTGTATCAACTTCTTTAAAAAAGAAATATTTAACCTCCAAACAACGCTACTAAGTTCTCTTAACTTTCATTATGTAAACGTGTTTAGAGTAACCTAACGATACCAGAAAACGTTGTACGTAAAAGTTGAAATGTTTCTAGGAGACTAACCTGTAAGTTTTTGAGGTCCTTTTACCTATTAACTCTTTTGCATTCTTCTAACAAAGTCGAGTTCACGAACGATTCGCTGTCACTGACGGGAATCAACGTTCACTCTGCGCGGATGCGCAAGCGCATGTGCGCGCAGGACCGCGCGGGAAGGCTCGACGTGAAAGGGAAAACACGTGGTCGGGATTGAAACGTTAATTCCCGATATAACGAGATCTCCACAGTACCTGAGCGATAACTGTTAAACACGCGGCTGAAAGTCGAGACTAACCTTGATCCTTACGGACCGGCATCTACATTCCGTGACCACGCACGCATTTACGCTCGGCAAAAAGCCCGGAAGGTCGTGCACGAAGAAAAGAAAAACTGACGGGGGGGAAAAAAGAAAAAACCGAGTCCCCGAGCTTCCATCTTCGTCGCTTGGCTGTTTTTCAACACCTTCGACGGTGGATTGAGTAACGCGTCCGCCTAAATTTTTAAGCAGAACGTAAATCCATATTACGTCGCGACGTTAAGCACAGTTTTGTAACTTTTCGACACCTCTCCGGAGTGTTTGTTCTCCTCGTTGTCGTAAAAGTCTATCCTCGGACCGACGATACTTGACATCGTTTGCATTTCTTTTATTCTTATGATTTTTAGAAAAAGTCGCGTTAAAAAATTAAAGATATCGGGTATTTCATTGGACTGTTTCACGAACAGAGACAACCGTTTCATTTGCAGCGAAATTCCCTTACGGGAATATGGAAACAATCTCCATTTCCTGAAGATTTCCTTTCAATAACAGGATTTACGACAGCACTGGCCATTAAAATTGTAATATTTGTTTCGAGACAGTTTCTTGGGGGGTTTTGCAATTTCCTTGCAATTTCAAACCGAGACTGGATCTCTTCCACGAGACCATACACATTAATACAAATTGTACGAAAAACTGCCGTGGTTTATGATCATGAAATGTTATTATATGTAATTAAAACTGATGGAAAATGGAAGAGAGTTTTGTAGGAAGTATTTAACTACAAAATAACACAAAAGGAAAACAAAATGTTACATGGAGAAAAGTTTCTTAATTATATATAATAACATTTAATAATCATAAACCACGACAGTAACGTTGCAAGAAAATGTCCCTGCTTGTTCCCGAAATATTAAAAATTACCTGCCAATTTTCTAACTGACCAGAATTAACGCGTATTTCTTATAACTTACCCGCCAAGTGGCGGATAAATAATTAAGTTGATTTACAAAAATGATGTTCAGAGGTCCGTGTGACATAACTGGGGCGGTTGAAGAGCATAATCGTGGTCGGTGTACGTGTCTCCGTCGTGTCGTACGCGGAAAGGCCGGAGACCGTGTCTAAACAAAAATTCTCGACGACAATTTAACGAGAGCAATTCGTTGATTCGCCTAATTCCAGTTATAGCTAACCTTGCCCCGGATCGCGCTCCTACTCCTTCTGGCTAATTTGTATAATTGTTTTCAACAATAGCGCGACGGTAACGGCAGTGGACCGCGCCAGTAAGCCGAGGATTCGTCGTCAAAGTACGCGGCAAAATGGCCGCTAACCGAATTACACGTTCATCCGCGTAAATGGATCCGTGCTTGTCCTTCGGCGTTATTCGTCGCACGCGCGGTTTAACGATGAATTAAATATCGCTGAACCGTTTCGATCGGTCGCGCGAGCAATTTATCAGCCCTCCAAGACGATTAATTGCTACGGCCGCGAATCGCGTGGATTCGACACTTCTCGCGGTGAAAAATCGACTGCTTCGTTGATTGCATTCTCTGAAATTTCGCCAATCGCGTAAACACCCTTCTTCGTACGATTATACTTATTTATTTATTTATTTATTCATTTATTAATTGGTATTAAACCCTTTGGTACGAAGATGTAATGTGCAAGGAACTACAGATGTGAATGTATCGCTTAGTGAATGTAACAAAATAAATTAATTTACGATATGTTGCAAGGATAATCTTGGACTTTCTAATGATCGTTCGATTAAATCATTAAAGCATTGCTGATCATTCTATTTACTTTCAGAGTAAAATAAAAAGTGATTTCTTAAATATCTGGATGGGTACATACAAAGGAAACGATTGAATAATTGTTGAACACGAAATATGACCTTTGATCAGCTTACTTACAAACATGATATCTGCAATTCTTATTCTACTATGCAGTGTTTGGAAATTAGTATTAATAAGTAAGTTATCATAATTATGAGACTCAAGAGGCCATATACTGACTGCAACGTAAAATTAAAGACAGCACTAATGAAAGTACTTGGATGAATCTTGAGAAATATATCGAGAAGATGAAACCAGACGAAGTTCCCCGATATTTGTCCAAATTCTACAAAATAAATGGTATATTTGAAATGCTGAAGTTGCAACGCACAGTGTACAACGTCGACCTTCGTGGCTAGGAAATAAAAGAAATAAATTTTCGTAAAATCAGGAGCCTCTCGAGGCTTCTTCGTAGATTCTTCGAGATGCGATAATAATGTTGTAAATAAAAAAATTTACAAACGAGTTTACCTTGTCGTTGTTGTTTACTGTTTGGATTGCTCTCGGTTGTGTATCCACTTCCTCCGTGTGCGAACGATCGAGAGCCAACGAGTTCGCGAAGGGGACCGAGACAAGACGGCACTGCGGATGACGAATTCCAGAATGTTTAATATGCTCGCCCTTGCTTTATCCGCGCATACATATTCCAAAATTCGACGTTTCCTTCTTTTTTCCACGTATCGCCGATGCGCTCGACGGCGCTTTTTTTTCTCCGCCCCGTCCTTCGGGGACAGAGACATAAATCTGTCTTTATGGTCTCCCGGGCACCCTTTAAAATCCTCTATCGCGTCTCGAGGACGGCAAAAAGAGTTCGATGAAAGGAACCATAATTCAATTCCACTCAACGTTTTCTCTGGCTAATTGAAAACTAATGCACCGAGCCTCCTTGGAATCTTTCCGAGTGCCTCTCCTTTTTCGCCAATATCCGATCTGCCGCTCCGAGTCTTCTGCCAATCGAAACCAATACTATCATCAAGTATCAAATATAAATTGATATTTCAGTGGAAATGTATCGAACGAATTTCGATTCCAGTCGACACTGATCACTAAAATATCTGTTTGTAACGATCCATTGATCATCAGAATATGACGATCGTAAGAGTACGTTTCTCTTTCAATGATGATAATTGCTTTGTATAAAGTTAATTACAACTTTAAGTGATGTGACCCATGACATCTATCAATCTTCCGACGATCGTGTTATATCATTGAGAACTATAATTATGAATATTTATTCACGATTGTAGTGGTTATCTTCGTGTTATAGTATTTCAAACAAAAACTAA